AATGGCCGTCAGCTGAATAGTTGGGGATATGAAGATATAAAAATACTTGAAGCATACATTTTTTCAACAATTATCACACATTACCCCTTTTAGCTGCACCGCCACTAGAGTAACTAACGTTTAAGTTTCTTCAGTAATAGGGAAAAACTATCACTGGTATACGGCGATACAACTGCCGCAATAGATTTTCAATTATTGGAACTAACTCGCAAACCGATTTCGGGCTGTTTGGCCACTCGTCAGTGCAAGGTAGTGTCTATTATCAACATAAAGTCGATGATTTCCGATAATTGAAAATCGAATTCCTTCAGAGTAACATTTCGCGAACTAGGCTGAAGCGGACAACAAACAACAGATTGGTTATCGCCCAATCTGCCATGTGAACGAGGTGAACAACCGCATATCCGAAATTTTCCCAATTCCTCGTATAAGGAAAGAAAACTTCTCACATATAGTCAGTGGGCATACTTCAACACTGGCTATAAATCAAATCATTTGATTTGATTCATAGCCAGTTTTCAAGTATTCCCACTGACTATATGTGAAAAAAAATATCTAGTTTCATTTGTAATTTCCACGTAAAAATTTCTCGAATATTGAGGCCTCCTCACTTCCTCAAATATAATCGATTAATCTGAATGTAAAAATTTCTCTTGATTCATTTATGACATGTGTGAATTTCATTTTCAATACTCATTCTAAAAGGTTGGCTACCAACGTGGGGCCACGATTTCGAAGTTTTCAAATGGGTCAGGAGACTGGAAATCCATAAATGAGATATTTTCAGAATCATATTTTTCAGATACGTAAGTCTTCCAGATTAAATGGGTAACCAGATGCATTTAAAAAAGGTTGCTAGTTAACAAATCAGCATCTAGAAATTATGGATGGGAATGCCATGTAAGTACAATATTAACAAATCGATAGTTTTGATGAAAATGATTCACATTATTTGAATTGCAGTCCGTTAAAACTTGTCACTTTTGGAAACCTACGTATCAAAGTAAAATTAGAGTAATTATCATTTTCAAGTTGAGACAATTGGACTGAACATTTTATTATACTCGTTATAGATTCGACTCTAGAGAGCGCTGTTTTGAACCGCCAAAATATCATCAGATGTGATTCAATTATTTTCAAAGAACAATCCTGAAAAAGTGTAGAAGATGACATCTCTCCTTATGAAGACGACGTCTAGGAGAGACACAAAAATCTATCCACGAATATCACAGATGAATGGTACTCCCAGAAGTGGTCAGTTGCAGAAACCCAAAAACAAAGCATTTGTGCTTCAGGCTCTGGCTTCAACAGACTGGCTTGCAGTGAAAGCTACAGTGTAAGACAGAGGACGGATATCGTTCGGCGGTCGATTTCGAAGCTTGGATTTGCAAGTGACCGCCTTGGGAAGACCTGTTTCTTTGATAATTTCTCTGTTGATCCCTTGGATGGCGTTTCCATAAGGGGAAATGTCATTACATTTACATAAATCTAGTACCCACAAAAATTGTGGGTATGAGATATATCCGACGCCTGTCGGATATAATCCAACGCCGTTCAGAGGAATCGGGCAAATTTCGGATATGCAGTTGATTAGTACCTCGTGACATTTTTGATGAGGTTTATCCGAGACGAGCTTGAACATTCAAAGTTCTTTTCTTTAGATATGTTTACTGCCCGTCTTCAAGCATAGCCCACAGACTAATAAGAACGTTTTTCTTCCCTATTCAGAGGAATCGGGTAAATTTCGGATATGCAGTTGGTTAGTATACCTCATCCACTAGATGGAGTGACATTTTTGATGTTCGCTTCAACTCAACCGAGGAATGGAATACTCTGAAAGAATTTCGATTTTCAATTATGGAATATCATTGACTTTAGGTCGATGATGGTCACGATCTTGCACTAACGAGTGGCTAAGGAGCCCGAAACCGGCTGAAGGTCGATCCTTTCAGTTGTTCAGTTGTATATGCAGGAAATTTTCTGTGAAGATTCCAGCACTGACGCCTGTCAGATATAATCCAACGTCGTTCGTGGTATTAGCCAGTGGAGTAGTTGTTTTCTGATAGGCGTACTGCCCGTCTTCAAGCATAGCCAGCCCACTGACTAATAAGAAAACATTTCCTTCAATTGTTCATTATTTTTCAATTGTATCTGCAGGAATCGATTGTTTAAAGTCGATTCTAATGCAATGAGTCCTTAAAGTGATTGCAGGGAAATATTTCATATTTTTCCTCTGTTGAAGTCATATATTTTGTATTTCTTTATTCACTGAATTGTTAAATAGTTTATTGAATTTGTGTCATAAATATTCATCTCGTCTTTCTCGTAGGATTTAGTTTTTTAATATATTAGATGTTTATTCCAGAATTTGTCATAAAGAAATGAACACAATGCTCGATTTTCCAACTCATAAAGTGAATGACTGCTTGCTTTCAATTGAAGCGTATGTAAAATAGTAAAGATACAATATACAGGGCGATACTATGAGGATCTTCACTCCGAGTCATATTTTCATTTGCGTCATACAGGGTCTTCAATAAATGCAGATACTTTGATCTCATGAAAAAATGAGTGGAACTCAATTTTTTCAAATGGAACACCCTGTATATTTCAACATTTTTGAGCTCTACATCCANATCAAACACATGTTCTTAGATGCTTATAATAACATGAAAATTTCACAGACCGGTCAACACATACTTTGAAGAACATTGAAAGTAATGTTATGTGCATTCCTTGTTACTAACTTGGCATCAGAAAATCCCAGAATTCTTCACAAACTCAGGGAAATTATTTAGTTGACTGTGAAACTTTGATTGCATTGAAAGGCGTATATTTTTAAGACGGATTAGGTAACTTTCAAACAGCCCTCTCGAAACAACTACCTACTTCCATATAAATATTGAATTACACAAAAAAAACTTAAGAAAAAACACTTTCATAATAACTATTGAATTATACAGAAACACTTTTTCCTATTTAGTTTGTACTTCAAACATTCGTTATGGAATCGAATCAGACATTATTCACAGGATTGCTACACAATATATGAAAGAGGAACATATGGAACACTGTCACCCTCAGTGGCGGGCATCCGATGTTGCGGAATGAGATGCTTGCTTCATTGCCTCTTCAGCATCATAAATAGTTCTAGTACTAAATCAATCATTTGAAACAAAAGTTTGTATTGTACATTTTTGGAAATACTTTTGAAACTTTAAAATAGGATAAATATACTGCTCGTCATTATTAAATTTGAAGGCAATGCTTTCTAACGGTTGACTGGAATTAGTAAAAATGTCAACTTACAGAAATAGCCGTGCCTTTAGTGCATAGTTTGTACCATTGTTTCTCCCAAGAAAAAATTATACTAATGATTTGTTTTCACGAATAACTAATCTATGCAGAACTTCTTCGAAAAAGACCACGAAAGGAATTTCTCTCTTGCTCTTAGGGAACAATGTTTTCACGAATAACTAATCTATGCAGAACTTCTTCGAAAAAGACCACGAAAGGAATTTCTCTATTGCTCTTAGGGAACTAAATTTCGAGAAATAATAAATGTAAAATAATAAAACATTTTTATACCCTACTTACACCAGTTTCATATCTGAAATAGTGCAGGTGATTGGTTAAAGATAAAAAAGGTCCCAACAACATGCTGGTTTTATTGTGTACCTTTCACTTCAAAAGCTAGTAATGGCATGACGAGCAGACAGATCGCAGCTCATAATTGATGTGATGCCAATGGAGAAACTCTGATACCAAAGAAGAAGTGAACTTTTTCACGATTTATTGTAGCAAATATGAAGCGCTTCAGAGTAAGAGACATCATGTAATAAATTTACGAGTATGTTCGAAGATGTAATATGCAGAGAATATGAGGAAGCTATTCACATTGCGCTTCCTAAATCTAACTCTTGGACCAAAAAGATGTTCAGTGAGGAATTGGAGGAGATTGAATTGGTTTCAAATTCATTTCAACAATACACGCGGCAGGGACTAAGCGGCAATCAACTAGTAATGATGCAAAAAGGACCAAAACTTCTGTTTCAAAAACTGTGAGTGATACAGGCTGGTTAGAGTCACTTTCGTTCTGGGTAGGATTCAGCGAAGGCTTCATGACCAGTCAGTCTCATAAAACTTGCACTGGTTAGAGATTCATATCGCACTTATTCTTGCGGTCAATATATGATCGTCTTCGAAGCTAAATGAGTGGGTCAATATTTTTGCAAACAACCAGGTCGCATTCGGGGCACTAATAATCTCATTAGTGTCAATAAAATTGGCCTGAGAATATGTTGTGAGAAACTAAAAGAATGAGTTAACAAGAATATCCAATACAGGATTTGTACAAAGGAACACTATTGGCCATCCAGGGATTTAGAAGAAATGTTATTGGTCTTTCGAACTAAAGTGTATGCAATCTTGCAAAAAATATTTTGTCGAGACCTCAACAAGATGAGCGAATCAGTGCCACACTTGGAGCACTGCTTGATCTTGAAGTAATATCGATATTGGTCTGGGACAACACAAATTATGTCCAGAAAGATACAACAAACTTCCAATAAATTACTTGTACACAAACTATTGAGTAGAACAAGAATATTAGAATGAGTGCTATGAAAAGGAGAAAGAAAGTAATGAACCAATGGAGTTAAAGCCTTTCCAGTATAAATGGCTTCAAAAACAGCAGCCAAAAATATATCCTTCTAATAACTCAAATTCAGGATGTTACACAGAATGGACCCAACTTCGGTTAAGAAATCAAATCATCCCTATGAAATCTTCCGAATCTCCTTGCTCCTGAATTGTATCGATATTCATAACAGCTTTAATGATAATGTAGCAAACCAATAATTTCTTTATTATAACCTTGGCGGGCTTGGATGCGGCAGAAATGCAGAACAGGGTAATAAAAAGGCAGCTTCTCCTTTCGAAACGAAATTATGTTATAACAACCCGTTTGAGTATCACGAATGTTCTAATTACAGACTCACCTTTGGCATAACATATTGCAAGACATGCAACGAAAATCACCGCACTCTGACGCATTTTAATTGTTGTTTGTCGACGTTAAACCACCCGTCGCTCACTCGAAACCGGAGTATGTACCATTAATTTGAAAAGTGAAATGAGTACAACAGAACTAAGTCACAATATTGGTCATGTCTAGAGCCAGTAATACATTCTCTTCCACAGCGCAGAGCCCACTAAGCGACTCCAATCGTTGCATAGCTGAGATGCGGTTTTCTCTTTCTGTTTCAAAAGTTTTTCTTTGTCTTTTTCTCGCGGCGGAGAACCTTGTTGAGGTTTCATACCTGTCTGTGTCACATATGGGCATGCTGGTACCGCGGCGTATGTTCTTCGTCTACAGGGCGTCGCAAACTCGTCGCAAAATTACACGTATATCAATAGTTTTAAATAGTGTTTGATATTTATTGTGAATTCACAGAAATGATCATTATAGTGTGGCAAAGTGTGTCAGAATTGGCAATCTCTAAAGCATTCATTTATCTTTCGAAGTATATAGATTGATTAGATGAATTTTTGTTGTTTATTTATCCATGATAATATTCAAGCAATTTTCACAAATTAAATTTTTCTTTCAGGCGCGTTTTGCCAACACCGTAACGTCATCGGTAGTAGTAGTAAAAACACTGGTCTGCAGTTCTTATATTCTTCTTGTATGTGACCACTGAATCATACATAAAACACTTTTTTCCCGCATAAAGATGAAGAAGAGGCAAACCAGAACCTTCCTTTCTCAAAAAAGATTGTCTTCTAAAAACATACCCCTTTCAATTTATTTTACAGATATATTTTCTACTTAGAGCTAGGAATATCTTGCACTTTTTTGTATCGTTTTGGAAGGTTAGGTTGAAAAGCAAGTATATTAGCTGAACCCTGCCCATTCATCATATATTGCCTGTTTCATTATATATTTTTATTGTTCATTTCTAATTATGATGAATAACAACCTGTCATTTTTATTCATTCATTCATCTTTTTCAAACCAAAGTTTCCGCTAAAAGCGGAAACTGGTCAGGCCCTATTCCTCGAAGCTCAATATATTTGGGAGGGCGCGCCAGCATTATCAATCAAAGACTACTCTCCACACCGTGGGGTAAGTGATCATTGGGTCCGAGAATAATGTGCCCTGAGCAAGCGCAGTGAGCCAAGAATTACCGCCTTCTGCATCTGTCCGGCTAATATTTTTGCCTACGTGCGGCAATCCGGACGATATTCGTCTCACCAGGAGCTGAAAACTCCACGATAAATATCGTTATGCTCTGGTGGTAAAGAAGGACTACATTAGGCTAATCAGCTTGTGTGAGCCTGAGGGTGGGGAACGAATGGTTCAAATAAATTCGGCATTTCTCTTTCCCCACAACAGTTTCAATATTCCTCGAAGTATAGGGTAACACCGGTGTCTCAATACCGTAAGAGTGTCGTATGTGGTAATAAAGCACTCTTAGGGCCGCATTATGTCGATGGAAATATGCCGAGACCGTATAGGCTAGACATGCTGAAAGCAAATGCATTAGGGTCTCGAAAGCATCGCGGCAAGCCCTGCATCTCGTGTTAGGAACCTCTATACCCATCACGCGACTGCGGTAGACTTAGGTGTTGAAGACACCATCTTGGCAGGCCATGATGAACCCTTCAGTTTCCGACTTCAACCCACTCGACCTGAGGAAAGCCAGAGTCAGTCGCTTTCATAAGCCGAGGTCTTCAATAACATTGTCTTCAATGTTATTGAAGAAGATCCCATGCATTGACTTGTCCTTGTGTTGTCACAGAAGTGAGATGATCTCTGCGGCTAAACGGGTTCCAACTCGGTGACAGAGTTGTGATCATCTTGTTCAGTGTCGAAAACTAAACCAAGTTCACCATGCAGTTGTTCGGGCAGCTGCCCTAAAGAGAAATGCTCCATTTCCTGCTCTCTGATGGTAGCGGACCATGCAGAGAAGAGGATCCGAACTCCTGAAGACTTTACAGGCTCCATCCAGTACTATTCTGTTATGAAGACACTCCAAACCCAAAAGCCCACGGCCTCAATGTTATCGGGGAAAGTACAACCGTGGAACGGACGATTTGGGATGCAAACTCCTATGGAGGTGTATCATTTTTCGGGTCTTTACGTCGAGTTAATACAGCTCCTCTCGAGTTCACTTCACTACTCCAAACGAATAAACTGAGATTGGAACGGCAATCACATTCGTTGCAGCAACTTTGTCTTCCCCGACAGTTCCGATGACCAGATCTGTCGCAGTTTGTGCTGATACTTGCCGCGGAGAGGGTTCTTCACTGCTGTTACCTCTTGTGAGTGGCATTGTTCCACCCCGAGGTGTAGGATGGTGTAGGATGCTTCCATCTACGAGCTGCACAACCTCTAAGTAGTACCCGCATTGTCCTCTTTCGAGGTGGACCATTGCACATTTGTCTTTCCCGAATTTCATACTAATATCATGCGTGTACTCTTCCACCACCCTCAAGGATTGAAGATATTGTGACAAATTAATGAATAAACTGTCTTATACAAATTTGTTTCCAACAATATTTCAATAATCACAAACTAATTTATTTATTACAACACTTAGCAACTAACGCTTGATTTATTTCCACTATTCGAATTTCTTGTTTGGCCGCCCGATTCACTTTCTCAACTGCCCTCTTGAGGCGGGAAAAAAGGCTTATATCGGTAAAGGTCCCTTCGAGGATTCTGTAGACGGTTCGGTACTCGCCTAGAATTTTACCGGTAGTACCAATTCAACCGGTCAGGGGCGGCTTCAGATTCGTTAGAATATCATTATTATCATTATTATTATTATTTGTTAAGAGGATACTCTCATGGCAACTGAGACTAAACCAATTTTGAAGGTCTCCTTAGTACTAATCCATGTCTGAGGCTGATCCGTCGGTTTAATATTGCTCTATTAAGAAAAAATGCAGGAGGTCAATATAGTAGAAGCGAGGCCGGTCATTTCAGAAAAACACAGTTTTTCTGTTCGGCTCTATTGAATTGCCGCTAATCATTTCTGATGCTATTATGGATATATAGGTTACCAGTTATCCTCCATTGCGTTGATAATCGATAAATTGAAATCGCCAATCATAAAAATTCTCCTCTCGAAGAAGTCGTGATTTAATTATCGTTTAATTAAATATAAGATAGGCCAGCGAATGCCCTTTTAAAAATTGCGAACAATCACCTAGTTTCGTTAGAAAAACATGTTCGTCGTCCAGCTATCTTAATTAATTTTAATGGGTTTTGCGCTTATTTAGAAAATTTCGCTGACGCATCGTACTAAATTTGAAGAAATCGACGTTCAAGATGGATATATATTTAATTGAGACTCTTTATATTCTTGTGAGGCTATTAGAAGAAATATTTGTTTGATTGTTATCATTCATGGAATATGATATGAAGTAATTTCAAATGTCTTATTTGTTCGAAGCAAATGTTCTATGAGTAGTCAAGAAAATACGACTTTCAAAAATAGTTTTCTTCTTTCAACAGTGTAGCAATCCGAAAATGAACACGAAGAATCGCTCCAGTGCAAATCCGTTTTCTGACATGATAGTAGGGGAGACATATTAGGTTGCAAAGCTAAGACGATAAGAAAAAAAGTGTTATATAATATACACCTTTTCATCGGTGGGGGAAGCGGCTATAGATTTTTAAATATGTAAAAAAAAACTGTTGCATGGACATACTCGAGCGTGTCAGATTTTGATAGCACCAATGTACTACGTATTTTTAATAATGTTGGTATGTTAATCTGATCGTTTGCATGATGTGGGTGGTTGTACGTAAGAGTTAAAAGTGAAAATAAAAGAAATTTATTGATCGCGTCAGATTTTCTAAGGGGGTGTTAAGTGCAACAAAAAAAGTTCTCATTCAATAATCTGACGATTTCGATCTGAAAGAAAACAACAACTCCCCTGGCTAATACCACGAAGGGCGTAGGATTATATCCGACAGGTGTCAGTGCAGGATTCTTCACTGAAGTTATTCCTGCATATGCTTTTGGCGATACAACTGCTGCAATAGATTTTCAATTATTGAAAACACTTGCACACCGGTTTCGAGCTGTTTAGCCACTCATCAGTGCAAGGTAGTGTCTATCATCACCAGAAAATCGATGATTTCCGATAGTTGAAAATCGAATTCCTTCAGAGTATCATTCCTCGAACTAGGCTGAAGCGGACAACGAACAACAGTTTTGTCATCGCCCCATCTGCCTGTGAAAGAGGTAACTAACGGCGAAAAGAGGATTGGATACCATATGGATCCCTGTGAAACACCAGCGTTGATGTTAAAAGTATAGTAGAGTCAAAAAAACGGACAAAATTTTTGAAACAACCTGATAGGAAAATGTCGATAAGGTGAACAAAATACTTCATCACAGTTGAGTATCTACGAATGAGATGATTCATGACTAACCACTAGCTGTAGCTAACCACTAGGCTCTATATAGCTGTACAATTAGGTGTGTCATCAACAGATGGATTAAATGTATCAAATGACAGATTTAATGTGTCAACTGCCAGATTTAATGTTTCTATCGCCAGATTGAATGTGTCAATCGCCAGATTGAATGTGTCAATCGCCAGATTGAATATGTCAATCGCCAGATTGAATGTGTCAATCGCCAGATTGAATGTGTCAATCGCCAGATTGAATGTGTCAATCGCCAGATTGAATATGTCAATCGCCAGATTGAATGTGTCAATTGAAATATTTTTTAAATTTTTGCAGTGACACTTATGAGCCGTCGTAGTTTCTTCCTACTTTTTTCTCTGGACAGTCTATTTTATATTCATCTCACATACAAGTTTGGAAGATTCTTCAGTTCCTTCTTCAATATTACTTGAATTTATTGCAAAAACTAATTTTAATCTCCATGACAAGTTTCGCCGAATGCTAATATATAGCTAATTTCATGGTGGGCTAATCGCATAGTAACACATAGCCGCGAATAGAATTATAATGATATAAGTAAATATCAACGTTATCTCTAGGTAATTAAAATTAGCTCCTCGAATGTTTCGTAACCGATCTCCTCATATCATTACCGTTAGTTTGAATGATAGACATTAGTGATCAATTACTAACAGACGCAGATTTCTTTTCGTGATAAATATATTAAAATAACCATCATCTATATTATCGAACATATCATGGCTGTTCAAAAAAAAAAAACATAAAAGAACTGTGAATGATTTT